TCTTCAGTAGCATGTGGATGCACTGATGTTGAGGAATTCAGCCACTAAAAGGGTCCACTTGGGCTGTACTCACCACCTGTGGGAGATGGGATACATTCTTTTTGTTAGAGGCATAAGGAAGGGCCAAGCCAAATTGAGAGCAAGTCTCTGGTATCATAGTAGCTGTCCTTTCCCCATTCCCTCCCAAAGGCAGTGGTACAGGTGTCACTTCTGCTCCAGACTTGTCCCATCTGAGTAGGAGCAGGAGGAGGGAAGTGGGCGATTGCTGGGAACTCACTGCCCTGTCCTCTATGTGCCTTTTTTGCTTCTAGTTTAGTAAAACCAAAAAAATTTTAATCTTGCTACCGTCAAGTGGACCCTGACTTATGGTAACCCAGTTGTGTTAGAGTGCACCACAGAGTTTACAGTGACTGATTTGGGGAGGAAGTAGATAGCCAGGCCTTTCTTTGGAAGCATCTTTGGGTAGTCTCGAACTTCTCACCCTTTGGTTAGCAGCTGAATGTGTTAACCATTTGCACCACCCAGGGTCCTGATCATAAGAGGGACTCTTGGTGTGGTGCTAAAGGATTAGGACTGGACTGCGAACCACAAGGTCAGCAGTCCAAACCCATAGATACCCTTGGAAACCCTATATAGGGTCACTGTGAATCAGAACCTACTCCATGGCACTTAACAACAACAATCTTAAGAGCGTTGTCTTTGATCTAACATTTCAGTCTGTTAGAATCATGGACTGTTTGAAATGTAGCCCAGATGCCAATTAGAAGAAGAGTGTGAAGGTCAAGCCAAGGCAGTCTCAGTCTAGAATTTAGGATTCTTGGACCTTTGCCAGGTGTTCTTTCCTTTCAGCCATGGCCTCTGACCCTCTCCAGCAGTGCCGGTTGCCAGGCAGGTAGTTGGACTCATTCCAGGAGGTCTTCTCCCCAATGTAGGTGGGCTCCCTCTGCTCCTGTGAGGCCCTGCTGCAGCTGTCAGCCGGGTTCTTGTGACCCTGTGCATTGCTGTTTGTGTCTTAGACACCTAGCACCTCTCGGAGGTCTCTGGATGCTCCCTCTTGGCCAGGGGTTTACCGCCTGTCCATGTCCTTGATGGAGAGGCTGCTCAAAACCCTGCGCTACAACTTCTTGACTGAGGCCCTAGACTTCGTGGGTGTTCACCAGGAGCGAACCTTACAGGTGAAGGGGCAACCAGGATCATAGGGGTAAAGGTAGGGTAAAGGGATCTGGTGGGTCGGGATGGAGCTTGGGGTTTGGCAGGTAAGGCTTATTGATGCCTCATTTCTGTGACTGACTGGCCAACCAGAGTGCAGCTGAACTGATAATTGGGGGGAATGATGTAGAATCAACTCAGATGGAAACCTCTTAATTGTAATGTTAAAAGTCACCTATTATTGCTGCCACCTCAGGATTTGTGAGCCTGTAACCTGTCTTCCCGCAAGAGGGCTCAATCAGGAGTGGGTGTTATCAGGTGCCTGAGCCATCTGAGTCCTTCCTTGCTGTCTTCTCTTCTCCCAGTGTCTCAATGCAGTGAGGACAGTGCAGAGTCTGGCCTGCCTAGAGGAGGCGGACCACACTGTGGGTTTCATCCTGCAGCTCTCCAACTTCATGAAGGAATGGCATTTCCACCTGCCTCAGCTCATGCATGATGTCCAGGTGGGGCCCTTGATGCAGTTTATTGGAGGGGTCTAGGAAAATACTTGGAGACAGGAGGACAATGGGTAGTGTGGCTAACCCTTTCTGGAAGACCATTTCCTGAAATGGGAGCACAGGTTTTGACTTGCTCACTCTCGGAGGTAAATTTTTTTTTTATCTATAGCAAAGGGCACCTTAAGAACTTGGTGTCTATCAGATAGGCTTTGGTTCAGAGTCCTTAGGTGGGCAGGCTTCCACCATTTGCTGCTTGCGTGACCTTGGCTGAGTCATTTCGCCTATCTCTAAGCCTGTATTTTTTTCCAAGCTCAAGAATGTAGAAAGGGTCTGTTAGTAACTGCTCGGTAGGCGAGAGGAGAGAAGTGGTATTTTGTATAAACCTGTTTGGTTCTGTTCACTTGGCTGGGGCTGCTGTCAAAGAGAATCTTCCCTTAGACTCCTGTGCTGTGTCTCAGGTAAACCTGGGATACCTGTGCCAGGCCTGCACCTCCCTCCTGCATAGCCGTAAGATGCTGCAGCACTACTTACAGGTACCTGAGTCCTGCCTTATAGGATTGCCCTGAATGCCCCACCCCTGGCTGCCCTGCACCCCACTTTTATTTCCTGATTCTCCCCCAGAACAAAAATGGGGATACCATTCCCTCAGCTGGCGCCCCCCGAGTCCAGCGGCCACCCACAACTGCACCGGCTGTCCCTTCCTGCTCTGCCTCCTCCAAGCAGCCAACTGCTGACACTGAGGCCTCAAAGCAGCGAGCCTTGCGCACTGTCCAGTATGGTCTTCTCAAGATCCTTAGCAGAACTTTGGCAGCGCTGCGCCACTTCACCCCAGATGTCTGTCAGATCCTGCTGGATCAGGTACCGGCTCCCTACTCCCTGTACACTACTGCCCTCCTGGGGGGGACGTTAAAGGATTTGCTGTTTTCTGTACTTAAGAACTACCCAGGATTCTAGCTGTCTTTTTTCTTCTTGTCTTACAGTCCCTGGACCTTGCTGAGTACAACTTCCTATTTGCCCTGAGCTTTACCACTCCCACCTTCGACTCCGAGGTGGCCCCCTCCTTTGGGACACTTCTGGCAACTGTGAATGTGGCCCTGAACATGCTTGGAGAGGTATGTAGGGTGGTGTCAGCCTTTTGCCCTTTAACCTCTTTCTCCAGTGTACCACTTCTTAACTATGACCTGATACATTATCTAACCTTCCTGTGCCTGCTCCTCTTCATTAAAGGATGATAGAACTCACCTGATAGAATGATTTTGAGGATTAAATGAGGTAGCTGATGTTATTGTTTAATGCAGACCTGGCAAGTAGGATGTTCTCAATAAATGGGAGCACTTCCTGGTTTTTATTTTATGGCTTGGATCTGTTCTGTTTTCTCTAGTTGGACAAGAAAAAGGAGCCCCTTGCCCAGGCTGTAGGGCTCAGCACACAGGTGGAGGGGACCAGAACACTAAAGTAAGACCCTTTGGAGTTTGGTCTAAATTGGGGCTGTTGGGTTGGCTATTTTCTCAGCTGACTGCCCCCACACCCACCCTATGTCTACCAGCTTGACCCCTGCAATGGTGCCAGAAAACATGTTTCTTCCAGGTCCCTCCTGATGTTTACTATGGAAAACTGCTTCTACCTGCTTATCTCCCAGGCGATGCGTTACCTGAGGGACCCAGCTGTCCACCCCCGGGATAAACAGCGTATGAAGCAGGAACTCAGCTCAGAGTTGGTACGATAGATTGGAGGACTCTGATGGGGAGGGGGTTGGGCTGACAAAGAGCCCCACGGGTCTGTCTTGTTCTCCCACTCCCCATAGCTTGACCCTGAGGCCAGAGGTGGTGCTGGACCAGAGGTACTGGGCCTCATCAAGCTGGGTTTTTTATGTCCTTTTTTTCCCTTATAGAGCACACTGCTCTCCAGCCTTTCACGCTACTTCCGCAGGGGAGCCCCTAGCTCCCCCGCTACTGGTGTCCTCCCCTCACCTCAGGGCAAGTCCACCTCTCTCTCCAAAACCAGCCCTGAGAGTCAGGAGCCTCTGATCCAACTGGTGCAGGCCTTCGTCCGACATGTGCAAAGATAGGGCAGTGACGTCCTACTCGCTTACCACTCTCCACCAGCCTGCACGGCAGCCCTGGACAGTGGGGTGCTGCCTGCCTGGTGGGGTCCATCTGCACCTGAGTGCAGCCCCGTCATCCTCTCCACAGAGTAATGACTCCAACCTCCGTCCCACTGGCACTATTTTTATAATTGATCAAGAGGTCAACAGCAGGGATGGGGAGCCAAAGGTTCCCTGTACTCAGGCCCTCACATTAAAAATTCCCCGAAGAGGTGTATTCCTTTCTTTCGAGCATTCCCCATAGCATTTGACCTCCGTCTAAGGGCAAGGCAGGGGGACCAATGCCTTGTACAGTTCAGGAGGGAGATGGTGTGCACGGGTTTGAAAATGTTTTCTGTGCTGCTCTTGCAGTTTTTTTGGTAATACTGTGGTCTATTTATACAAAGACATTAAAATAACTGTTTATAGACAACTGTGTGATGTGCCTTTAAAGCCCAGGAACCACCAGCCAGCTCTTGAAACAAGTGAGTCTGGCCAGGGGCCTGGGGTGGGGAAGGTAGAATACTCGCTATGGCTGATTCACAAGCACCCCGCCACTCGAGCTCCTCAGACACAAATGATGGATGAGATGCTGTCACATTTTCCCTTTGTCCTACTCCAGGTCCTATCCCCACCCCTCCCTCCTCTACTTGACCAGCTGGCTGAGCTTATCACTGGGTGTGGCCTTTCTTGAAGTTGTTTCTTCCTATTTATAGCACTGTGCCCCTGCCCTCTCCCTTTTCAGAAGCAGTGGAATCTATTCATCTTTAGCTTCCCAGGGACCTAAGTCTTAAAATGCTGGGCCCAGCTAAGGACCCTCAAACATAGCTTATTGCCTAAAGCCACCCACTGGAGCTTCTGGAATCAGATTGATTTGGGTTTGTGTCCTTTCTTGGCCACTTGCCGACAGTGGTACCCTGAGATGACTACCTGGTTCATGTCTTCTGGTGTGTGAAATGGGGACATTGTACCTACTTCATAGTGTTGGAGTCAACATCATCTGTCCAAATTTAGGTACATTTTCTTAAGCATAAAATGTTCACTATGCAGGCAGAGCACAGCTTCAGACCCTGTGAGAAAAGGAGAGCTCTGAGGGATGCCCTTCTTTCTTTAAAGAACTTTTTCTGTGCCTGATCCTGTCCATTACCCCCACCCAGAAAACATGTAAAAAGTTGTCCGTCCTTCTCACACCCTCAGACCAGTTCCACAATGCCAGTGACCTCTGACAAGCACCCACATAGCTTACACACAAAGAGTGGTTGTTTATTGTCATTGGCTAGAGAGCAAGCAGACAGGCAGAAGTAAAAATATCAGTTAAAAAGTGAGTTTAGAGAGGTGAAGGCTGCAGTCACCATACTTGGCTTGAGCTTTCAGGGAGAGGGAAAGGTAGCACCGGGAAGATGCTGCTCTGGGACCCAGTCCTGCTAGCTCATGAAAGGGGGAGAGAATCCTGTTCCTGAGGGCTGCCAGAGACCTGCCTGCCCTGCTGCTTTCCCCTTTTCTGCTTTTGGCAACTAATAGGTGCTTTCTTGTCAAGGGTGCACCTCAGCACTTCCTTAGGCCGTCTGGCCAACTCCCACCACTGGCCCAGGGTCTGAGCACAGCAGCTGCAGCCAGCCTCCCTTTGGAGCAGAGCACAGAGGGCTGAGGTGCTCGGGGGTGCAGGCAGGTTGGAGACTCCAGAACCGCTGGTCAGAAGCAGGGCTAAGTGGGGACAGGGATCATTCAGCCTCTTGGGCTCCCTCATAGCTGGATGACCAGGGGCAAGGACAGGAGCGGTTCAGTCTCCCCACCCTGAGCAGCTGGGTCACCAACAGATAAGAGAAGTGGCCGGGCTGTGCCCAGACTCCTGCCCAGGCCAGAAGGGGCAGGGGCCTGGGAGGGGGCTTGCTTAGCTGAGCAATTCCAAGTACGTGACAGGGACCTTGCCCTTCTTGTTGCCTCGCTCGCCAATGAGCCAGTCAGGGTCCATGCCGGGCAGGCTGTAGACGGTTATGAGCTAAAAAGGGAGGGAAGAGAAAAGGAGGGTTAAGGCTCCAGACTGAGGGGACTGAGGGGACAGAGTTGAGACACCTGCTGGTTAACATGGGCATCTGCATGTTCAGTGACCAGTGTTACCTGCCCACCCACTCCTCTGAGGCATGGCAGAGTAGAAAGTGCTTCCTCAGACTGAAAGAGCTGCCCCCACTTTGCCCTTCTCATACACTTCTCTCAGGGCCCTTGGAAGACAGAAGGCCCAATGCTCCTAGTGCCAGTTCTCGGACTACTTTCCAACCACCCTTGAAGCCCCCAGGCCCACCTCATCAGCCAGCAAGGCCAGCTCACTGCTGTCAGCTGCCTCATAGTCGTAGAGCACACGGGCCTTTCGGGTGCCACTGGCGGGTGGGGCCACCTCCTCCAGGCAGAGAGCAGCCTCCGCTGGAGGGGCCAGGCCAGCCACTGAGGGTACCACAGGCATGGTGGCTGCGGTGGTGGTGGGCGAGGTGCTGCTTAGGGGTGGGGAGGCAGGCTCTGTAGTGCCCACAAAGGTGCCTGGGAATCTGGGAAGCGGAGGAGGGATACATCTCAGCAGCTGGAAACCATGTCCCTGTGAGTCAGTCCTGGGCATCCAACCTGCCCCATAAATAGCTGAAGCCACAGCCACTGTCCCATTCCTCAGTCCAGGAAACCCCACTCCACTACTTACATGGCTCCCTGGGAGCTGGCAGCATGAAGGGAAAAGTAAAGCAAGTTGGGAAAGTAAGATGTTCTACCCCTAGTTCTTACCATCCTCCCCACTCCTAGCGTTCTCCTGAGACTTTCTCAGGTCACCAAGCCCAACCAGCACCCGTCCTACTAAGGAGATGCCCAAAGAGGGTGGGGATGACAGCCGTCACAGAGACCAGGGACCCCCAGTGGACTCAGGTGCCCAGCCCCAGCATCCACACCTGCCCAGCTGTTTCTGTAGGTCCAGCATGTGGCGGTAGCATTGGGCATAGTATGTAGTCTGAGACTCGATGAACTCATGGAGGCAGCGAAGGTGGTTCACCTGTGGGGAAGAGGTCCAGTGATGACTTCCGACATCTACCCACGGCACTGGAGGTGTCTTCAGAACAAAACCTGATGCTGTTGAGTTGATTCCAAGTCCCAGTGACCCTCCAGGACAGAGCAGAACTGCCTCGTCTTTCTCCTTTGGAGTGGCTGGTGGATTCCAACTGCTAGCTGTTTGAATTATCTATCCCATCCTCTGCCGGATACTGGCCCAGCATTCCAATCTCTTCTCCCCAAGCCTCCTGCTCCCATAGAAAACAGAAACTCTCCCTACCCTTCAAGGCCTGCTGTGCTGTAGACAGCACTTATAGCCCCAAGGGCATCTGGGTAATGCTAAGGTCATACCCCAAGAGACTACAGGGTCAAGCACTGCCTTTCCCATCTTCTGAGACTTAAGTACTTTGTTTGAGTGGGGACTGACCTGAGTGGTGGCACAGAGGCTCAGTGATCACAGGAGGTTGTTGAGTATGTTCAGCTGTTGTGTGTATATTCTCGGTAACAATGAAAATGAAAAAAGAGAGGGACTGAGGGCAGGACTTACATGCGTGCTGCTGATTCCCTCCAGCAGCAGGCGTGTCACTTCTGCCTGCCGGTCAAACTCTGTCTGGGCCACTCGGAGCTCCTGCTCAGCCTGGGAAGGTTGGGACACTGTAAGAGTATATATGAGGGCAAGACTCGCTGCTCCCTGCGCTGGCATCCTTCTCCAGAGGCCCTTAGGTCCACCTCTTCCCCTCCATGTGAAGGATTTCACTGCCCACTGTGAAGACTGGCCTCTGACACCAGACCTAGAGCCTGGTTTCCTATCCCACGGAGAAGCTAAAACCCCACTCAGGAACCTCTTGAGCTCACAGATTCCAGTGACAGCCTTTGCCACCAGTTTCCACACCCATCGTTGACACTACTACCCATCAGGGGAAAATCCAACTAGCATATGCTTCCTGAGGGTCTGCTGTTTGCTGTCAGGTTCTCTGTACTAAGATTACCCTCAGAGAGAATGTGAAAGCCCCCCACAGTGGCCCAAGTATATAGACAGAGCCCAGAACTAAAAACCTAACTCATAAAGCAGCAGGTGTGCCAGGACCCCCAGTCCCCATTAACCTTACCCTGCAAGCCCACCGCTTCTCCACCTACTCACCTTGTCCACTTCATCGCTCCAAAGCTGCAGAGACCACCACAGGACCAGTCAGCAGGAGAAGGGAGGGGAGGACAGCTCAACCCCTGCACCCCTGCTCTGCCCCAGCTCCTAGACACCCCCCAACATCTTCCCACCCCCTCCCTCTACCTCTGGCCACACCTCCCCATCCCCACCCCTCCTCATCAGGAGCTGAGGCTGAAATGAGGCCTGATCACCACAGTCCTGTCTAACATGCCACATGCAGGGAGGGGAGAACAGCCAGCTGGGACGTCCTGCTTGTTTCTCCCAGTCTAACCTAGTGTCAGCCCAATCTTGGATTGGGGTCTCAAGGAAGATCAAGTGTCCTCCCACCCCATGCTGAAACCCTGACACTTGGCTAAATTTAAAGCTTGTAGGCTGGGAGGCAGGACCATGTGACCCTGTGCCAGGCACTGAATCTTTCTGTTCTCCGGCTGAGAAAGCCAGCCTCGTGCCTCAGTCACACTCGGGTTCAGTGGCGAAAGAAAAAAACAGGGCACTCTCCACCCTCCAGAGTATTTCTCCTCCCACTGGGACCAGGAAGGAGGCCAGAAGTCTAAAGAAAAATCCTCCCTCCCCTACCATGACTTAGAATACCCACTTCTCCTGCCTACTTCCAGAAACTTAGCCCAAGACAATAACCTGACATACAGAAAGCCAAACAAGGCTAGTCCACATAGACAAGGATGTCCAACACAGTGTCTACCACAGTGTTGTTTATAAAAACAAAACATGGGTGGGATATGACCACCATAGGGTCTAGTAGAGTAAAATATGGTGGGTATTCCTCAGCTATACAAGTAACACCCAGCAACATGCTTATGACTAAAATGAAGAGCCAAGGGTCTACGAGGGGATCACCATGGGGGAAACAGAAGAACAGAGAAAGGCAGAAAAGGCACAGCAGTGGTTGCAATAAGCATGATGGGATAGATGTGACTGGAACCATTTCCCAACTCTTAAAAAATAACAAATATTTCAGCAATGCTGTGAAAACAAACCAAAAACCACCATGACATTCAAAGCCTTCAAGATCCAGCCCCCGACCACTTTCTATCCCCACACCTCCCATCACTGCCCACTCTCTTCCCCTACACTTTCAGCTTCAATCATTCTTGAACATATCTTCTCAAACCTCTGGGCCTTTATACAGGCTGTTCCTTCCACCTGCAGTGCCGTCTCTCTCCCTGCTTACTCTGCAGGCTTTCTCCTCAGGGTTACCACAATTAGCAGATGGGCTACGAAGGCTGCTGGGAAACTATCCGTGTCACCTGGCTTTAAGGGTCTGTGAGCTGCTGCAAGGCAAGGCCCAACAAACACCTAACCCTCAGTAGGTGGTGAGTGGATATGGGAGTAGGGAGGTGGGAACCGTGCAAGCTGGTTCGAGTTGTAAATGGGGACGGGCAGACTCTTGAGTTCCCTAGAGATGGGACAATTGCCGTCCTAAGACACTGTTCAGCACAGCTGGCTGAGCCTATTCAGAATTTTGCAGGAAGAGGCAAGTTCACCAACATGGTCACAAGGCATGAGGGACAGACAGAAGGAGGGGCTGCCGCTTCCCTTTCACCCTCTGCTGCTTCCCCACCAGCCTCAAACCCTGCCCATCCATATGTGTGGTGCCCTCTGCCTTACCCTGTGCAGTCAGGGCCAAGTGCAGAAGTGGGATTTGGGGGGAGAGGAGGCTGGGGTGGGGTGGATGGGGGGCTCTTACCGCGGAGGCGCTGGCCGAGAGAATGTAATTACGAGGTCTAGTCTCCTGAAAGTCAGGCACCGTCTGGCGGGGAACAGAGTTCATGGGGGGGGGAGCGCAGTGTCACACTGGGCTGGGGCCAGGAATGAAGCCAGGAGGCCGCCTCAGTGTCTCCCGCAGAAAGATGCCAGGAGACCACGGCCCCAGGGATAGGCGGCTACAGACAAACACAACATGGAAACCCTTCTCCCAGCTCCAACCTCCCAGGGATGAAGGGGCTTAGAGACTCAGAGTCAAGACAAAGACCAAGTCCCAGGGACATGACTGGGGACTCTGCAGGAGCAGATGTGAGAGAGCCCTCTTGTAGCTGTTGTCAGCATCCCTGTTCCTGTTAAGCCACAGGTTGGGTCTGACCCCTGGTCCATGGGTCATTGAGCAGTCTCACTCAGACACCCCAGTTAGAGCCACAGCCCCCCAAACAAAACCTGCCCCCACCACAGCTTTCTTCATCACAATTCGCCACACATGATGTCTCTTTCTCCCGCATCAAGGATCAGGCCCCTCCCCGACAACATGGGTGGAAGATGGAGACGTGGATGGATAGGCTTTCAACATTTGCAAAAAGCTGACCCACAGGCTCCAATGCCTGGCATTCCTCCCAAACCAGAGGCTACACAGAGGGGAGGCTCTGGAGGGGAGACCAGCTGCTTGCAAAATGCCTCAGGATGTGCCCTGGGTGGGTCACCGCCCAGTGGACCCAAGGGCAAGATGGGCAAGTGAAGCAGCAGCACAGCACGTGGGACAGGTATACTCACATCTCCCTCACACTGAGCCAAGTTACCCAAAGCAGAACAGAAAAGAACAAAAACAAAGAGTTAGTGAGTCCACAGCGCAGGCGGGAGCAGGCCCCCCAGGCCCCAATGGAAAGGAACACCAGGCAGACAGAGGCACACAACCCCACCTGGAAGGGGTCCTGGTGTGTGTGTGTGTGTGTGGAGGTGGGTGTGCACATTTAGAGAGGTAGGGAGGTAGGTACAAGGGACAGAACTGCCTGGCGTTGAGTCCTATGGGATGCTGTAGCTGATACTGCTGAACTCTCAGCTCTACAGAACCTCCTGGCTTGATCAAAAGGTGTGAGACTGGGCCAACCAACTGAAGAAGAGTTTGTGCCACTCCAGTGACTACAGAAAGGCTGCCCTAGCCTACCAGGTGGAAGACAGGAAACCTAGCTCCAAGTGATTGTCCTGTCCAGGTGACTTATAAGAAGTCATCCCATAGGCTATCAGATCACCTAGTCAACCCAAACAACACCCCAGTGACGCAGTCCCTCCCTCCAACCTGGACCCCACACACCTGGATGAACTGAAACCCTGCCCTGTGACAGCACAAGCCCATAGTGGCCTCAGGGCTCCATGGCCCTACTGTGGGAGGGGACACAAGAAAGGCATGGGATTGAGACTCTCATGGGCAACTGTGAATCTGGGCAGGGCCAGGTCTGCCTCAGCTGAGAGCCTGCACAGACACAGGCCAGTTTTCCTAGCGCCCCCTGGACCTGGGAGTCACTTCTTCAGGGTGTAAGGTGGTCTTCAGACCACTGCACCCCTGAGCAACTTGACATCCTAGGACTGTGCCTACCCTTGGGCTCAGCTCTCTGAATCCTGGGACTACCCCTGGTTGAATCATCCCAATGTTCTGTGTCCCATGGTCCAGTCAGTGGGGACATGCCTCAGGGAGTGAAAGGGGAACTCAGACAGCCCAGGCCCCGCCTAGTCTCATGGAGATCTTGAAAGAGTTCCTCAGACACACACTGAGCAGGTGGGTGGTCCAGTTCCAAGGTCCTCCACACCACAGTAGGGAAGACTAAGGGCAGGGCATCCAGTGTTCTAGCAGCAGGTGGGGGAGTTAGTAAGGGGGAGCCATGCCCGGGCAGAGCCAGGGACAGAGAGCAGAGCATCTAGGGCAGGCAGGAAGGGGCATGCAAGAGACTCCAACTAGCTGTCTGGGAAGGCTATGGGGTGTCCTGGGCCCAGGTGGGGGTATTGCTGGTCCAACCACCCCATGAGTGTCTGCCTGGGGACCCAGAGCTCTGGAACCACCAGAGTTCTCTTGGGAGTAAGGGGCAGAGACAGGCATGACCTGAAGTGGCCAACCTAGCCCAGCGCCCCCCAGCTAGGCCACTCTAGGAGAGATAGGGAAGAGAAAGGTCATGCCAAACACCAGATCCCTTCAAGCCCCTGAAATCTGGCAGGGCTGTGAGGCCAGCAGGGACACCTACCGTGGCTTTGGCTTCTGCCGCCTTGGCCTTCTTCAGCCGTGCTTTGCAGGCATCCAAGTCTAGGCGCCGGTTTTGGAGGAGCCGCCTCTCCTTCTGCAGGATGGGGGAATAGGAACAGTTTGACTGTGAACAGCTCTGAAAGACCTACGGTGGTAACAGGATGGCCCATAAGGCTATCTTGTCAAGACAGGTAAACTAAGGCCACTCCAGGTCCACATAAGCCAAGTTTAGGGAGGCTCCTAGGGTATCAGCAAGGAGAAGGGAACCTGTGTTCAGATCATCGCAGGAGAGGGTTGCTATGCTACCAAGAAACCAAGTGGCCCCAGACCCCTCACCGAAATTGTCTTCCAGTCTCCTTCCAGGAAGTTGCGCAGGGGCGTGAGGAAGTTGATAGAGGCTGTATGTATAAAGTCCCGCTCGGCACCTCCCAGGCGTTTTTCCGCTTCTGCCACCTTGATCAGTGTCTTCCCTGAGAAATGAGGGTTGAAGGGTGAGTCAGGCTCAGGCTGTGCTGAGCTCCAGGAAGCAAGGGATCAACTTAGAAAGACATGCTAAAGAGACTTGGGCAAGGATGCTAGATGCAGAATGGTTAGTCTGACAAAATAGAGAAGCAGTCTACATACAAATGGAGGGCTGGCAAATAAATAATGGGACACACCAAAAATGATGTGGTGCCAGACTGCAAAGTCGTTTAAACTGCAAGGTCCGTGGTTCAAGCTCACCAGTTTCTCTTTGGAAACCCTATAGAGGGTTGCAATGGGTTGGAATTGATTCGACGGAACTTAACAACAACAACAACATGCAGTCACTCAAAGAAATTCAGGTGGGGGTGGACTTTGGGAATGGCAGGAAGAGGTCTCCCAAAAAAAGCAGTAATGAAACTGGACAAAACAGTCAAAACCTAACCATTTCAGGGCTCTGGAAACTGACCAGAGTAAATAACAAATTAAGAATCACGTATTGAGAACCACTGGACCTTTGGTTATAAAAAAACAAAATAAAATACCTAGGAGTAGTTTCACCAAGACAGTGGACAAACTTTACAATAAAAACTATAAAAACGCTGCTGAAAGACATTAAAAGAGATGATGTGTAGCTACAGGATTAGCATTGAACTTCTGACTACAAAGTTGATGGTTCAAACCCACCAGACACTCCTTAGAACCCCCATACAGGGTCACTAAGAGTCAGAACCAAGTGAAAGGCACTTAACAACAACAACAATAATAAAAAAATGAGAAAAAATTCTGTGCTCTTAGATAAGTTGACTTAATAATGTTAATTCTACCAAACGTGATACAGATACAGCATAATTCCTATTAATATTTCAACTGTCTTTTTTGCAAAAATGGAAAAGTCAATTCTCAAATTCAAAGTTCCTGCAAGGGACAAAACAACCTTGAAAAAAAAAAAAAAAGGAACCAAAAAGGAGGACTCACATTTCCTATTTCAAAATGTACCACTAAGCTACAATAGTGAAAAAGAGTGTGAGACTGGTGTTAAGCATTACCATATAAACCAATGGAAAGAGGTTGAGAGTCCAGAAATAAACCCACAGATCTAAGGTCAATTTATTTTCAGCAAAGGAACCAAGTTCATTCAATGGAGAAAGAACAGTTTCTCAACAAATCCGGGGCTGTGACAACTGGATTTCCACATGTGAAAAAATGAAACTGGACCCATATGTCATAACACATATAAAAATTAACTCAAAATGGATCAATTCTCTAAATATAAATATAAAACTTTTAGGAAAAAGCACAGGGATAAAGTTTTAAAGATTTTTAGCTATGACTCCAAACATATAAGTAGCAAGAGAAAAAAAGAGATAGATTGGATTTAGTCAAAATTAAAAACTTGTGCATCAAGGAATATTATTCAAGAAAATATAAAGGCAACCTACAGAATGGGAGAAAATATTTGGAAACCATATATCAAAAAAGGTTTAATATCCAGAACATACAAAGAACTTTTAAAACTCAACAATAGCAATCCAATTAAAAAATGAACAAAAGAACTGCTTAGACATTTCTCCAAAAGAAGATACACAAAATTGGCTAACAAGTGCATGGAGAACTACTGTTAATCATCAGGACAATGTACATGAAAACCACAATGAGACATAAAATCAGAAAATATCATTTGGAGAAATGCAGATACTCCTACATTACTGGTGGGACTATAAAAATGCAGTAGCCACTATGGGAAACAGTTGGGCAGTTTCTCAAAAAGTTAAACATAGAAATACCATGTTGGTGTTGTTAAGTGTCACTGAGTCAGTTCCAGGTCATAGCGACCCTGTATAGGGTTTCCGAGGAGCAGCTGTGAGTTTGAACCACCGACCTTATGGTTCAAACTGACTTTGCAGTTCAGTGTTTAGCCTACAGTGCTATACCAGGACTCTTGGAAACACCCTGTTGTTGTTATGTGCCGTCCAGTCAGTTCTGACTCATAGTAACCCTGTATAGGGTTTCCAAGGAATGGCTGGTATGCTTGAACTGCTGACACTGTGGTTCAAGCTGACTTTGCAGTCCAGTGCATTAACCCATAGCACCACCCCAAGCCTCCTGGAAACACCCTATGACCCAGTAATTTCTAGGTATACGAATATATTCAAAAGAATTCAAAGCAGTGTCTCATCATGTAGCTTCACAATAATTAAAAGGTGAAAACAACTCAAGTGCCCATCAACAGATGAATGAGAAGTAAAATATGAGATATGAGGCAAAGTCAAAAAGGACTGCTACCCGGGTTCTAGGTCATACATGTATGGATTTATTCCTAAAACATGCTAAATCAGTCTTTGCAATCAGTGAAAGGCTGCAGACTAGTTCTCTCAGTAACACACTTGTCTCACTAGGGTGCCTTGGAAAAAAGACCCAACCAAAACAGTTGCTTTTGAGGGGATCTGCAGGGCTAAATTCAAGGCAGAAAGGTCCCCTCCGAAGGCTATGGTGACTGTTTCTTGGAATTCCAAAGGGGTCATCTTGACAGATTTATTTGGACACCGGACAATCATGGGCGCTTATTATGAAGAAGTTATAAAAAAAGCAACAACCTGAAAACTTCATTGGTGAGAAAAGGGCTGGAACGTTGTGCTGAGGAATTTTTTTTCTATGACAACACTCATTATTCATGTGCTCTTTCTTCAAGGTAGTAAGGGCTGTCCTACAAGAATTGCTTAGGGAAACCTTACCCTGTCATCCACCCTACACCCTTGATCTTGAACTGTCAGATTTCTTTTTGTTCCCCATACTGAAAGAACATAGAAAAGGAACATGATTTAAGTTCCTCGAGGATGCCAAAACTGCTGTTTTGACAGGGTGCAAATCAAAGAGCAAAGAATTTCAGGGAAAAGTTAGATATACAGAAACATTGCCTTCAAAAGAGCATAGACCTAGAGAAAGGATATGTCAAGAAACAATAGCTTCACATTTTGATATTTTTGTTTAATAAAGGTTCCTATGATTTTGCAGCAATACTTTTGGACTTACTCTCATCTACACACAATGAAGCATTATTCAGCTACAAAGAGAAATGGAGCCCTGGTACACATCGCCATATAGATGAACCGTGGCTAGGTGAGGTAAGTCAGACACAAAAGGACAAATATTCTATGACCCCACTTATATGAAACTTCCAGAATAGGTAAATCCATCCATCAAGACAAAAGATTAGGGGATCGGGGGAAGGGAATATATGGAATAAAAATAATAACAATAATGCATAGGACAAGAAAACAAAATCAGCAAGGATAAAGAAGACTTGAACAACACTATCAATCAACTAGACATAACTGGCATTTATTTAACACTCCACTCTACAACAACATGGTAGGTTTCAAGTGCACCGTTCTCTCTAAGACCATAGGCTATGACACCATAAAACATGTCCCAATACACATAAAAGGATTAAAATAACAAAGTATGTTCTCTGAGCATAGTGAAATTAAATTAGGAATCAAAAACAGAAGGAAACTTGGAAACTCCATAAATACCTGGTAATTAAACAACAGGAGTCCTGGTGTGGCGCTGTGGGTTAATGCGCCAGACTGTAAAGCCGTTTGAACTATAAGGTTGGCAGTTCAAGCTCACCAGTCGCTCCTTGGAAACCCTATATAGGGTCGCTATGGGTCAGAACCGACTCAATGACACTTAACAACTACAATTAAACAACACACTCTAGTGGGAATATAAAATTACGTAGCCACTTTGAAAACCGTTTGGCAGCTTCTTAAAAAGTTAAACATAAATTTACCATTAGATTCAGCTATTCTACTCCTAGTCATTTCCTCAAGAGAACTGAAAACAACATACATCTACACAAAGACTTCTAGGCAAAGGTTCACAGAAAACCAACTCAGATGTCCACCAAATGGTGAATGGAACTAAAAAGATGGTATTGTCCACACAACGGAATACTATTCAGAAATAAAAAGGAATGAAATCTTGGAATATGCTACAATATGGACAAATCTCAAAAAAACATCATGTTACGTAAAAGAAGTCAGGTGCAAAATATATAACACATAGTTTCATTTAAATGTTCAGAAAAGACAAACGAACAGAGAAAAATGAGTGGCTGCCTGGGGGTGGGAAAGAGATGGACTGTAAACAGACCTGACATCAGAGGCCTTTCTGAGGTGGGGGGTTGTTGTTGTTGTTAACTGTTACTGAGTCAGTTCTGGCTCATAGTGACCCTGTATAGGATTTCCAAGGAGCAGCTGGTGAGCTTGAACCACCAACCTTATGGCTCAAATCGACTTTGCAGTTCAGCTCATTAACCTATAGCGCCACAGAGATCTTTAAACTGTATTGTAAGGATGTTTGCACAACTCTGTAAAGTTACTGAAAAATACTGTTTTATACACTTAAATGTTGTTGTTAAGTGCCACTGAGTCGGTTCAGACCCATAGCGACCGACCCTGAACAGGGTTTCCGAGGCTGTAAATCTTTACGGGAGCAGAAAGCCTCACCTTTCTCCCGCGGAGCCACTGGTAGTTTCGAACTGCTGACCTTGCGGTTCACAGCCCAATTCGTAACCACTACGCTACCAGAGCTCCTTATACACTTAAGTATATTTAATTTAAATTAGTAAAAAAACTGTTAAAAATGGGGGGACAAAAAGATTTGAGATGGACATCTAAATAGATCTGTAAACAGGAATCCACAGTACAACATCAAGTTAAAAACTCAGGGTGCAGAATAGCAAACACAGTATGAGCTCATTACAAAATGCAGATGTGATGGTTGTGTACCATAGTGAACATAATTATTGTCAATGAATGGTACACATAAAAATGTACACGTAAAAGTTGTTGATGTTAAAAATGTCTGAACACGTAAAATTGGTTGAATTGTACACATAAAAATGGTTGAAATGGCAAATGTTTTATTGTACATTTTACTATAATCAAAGCATACACACAAACCAATACTGGGTAAGAGACTTCTATTTTTCACTGTTTTCTTCTGCATTGATTGAGGTTTTTATAATGAGTATAAATTCAAGTCTTATTTGTATAATGGGAAAAAAAAAAAAAGGAAGGAAGGGAGAGAGGGAAAAGCAGAGAGAGGCTGTGGAGTATCTGCCTTACCATAGGGAGTGGTAGGCCCCAGCTCACTGGCTGCCTCTGCCATGTACTGAGCCAGCAGCTCCCCGTTGGTGACCCGCGAAGGGACCTTCCTGTCCAACTTCTCATACAGGAACTCCTCCACTCGAGCACCTGTGAGGAGACAGCAATCAAAGGCACAGGCTCTTTGGTTCAAGGCCAAGGAAGAAAGCCATGGGGGCAGAAACAGATCCAGATCAGGCCCTATTCAAGGGAGCGCCCAGCCTGCTGACTTCTGGTATAGTCTCTTGCTTATGCTCACCTCAATTCTGTGAGACTGCCAGTATCAACCCCTCATTCTACACAAGCTAAGACTCAGAGATATGATGCATTTGCTTAAGATCATGCAGCTATGGGTAGCAAAGCCAACATCAAAGTCTGTCCCCTGCCTTCCTCGTTACATACACCTGGTGTTAATCCCCCAAAGATGTCTGGGCACTGAGTCCCATGCCAGATTTACAAGCAGTCAAGCATCACAACTCCACGTCACCCTTTTCAAGCAGGCTTTCCTGCAGTTTGGCTCTTTTCCCTTCTTGTTTGCTGTGTGATTTTGGGCAATACCTGCTCCATCTCTGGGTCTCACTGACTTCCCTAAAATGACTGAGTTTCTGTTTTTCCTGCCTCTCCTCCCAAGTGTGTTGTGGTCTCTAGGCACTTCTAACCCCTTTGTGCTAAACTTAGAAGTTCCACTGCTCCAGAGGGAGCATCTTAGAGCCCAACACCGAGTCTCTTGTTTTCACGGGGACTTCCCACAATAGCTTTAAGCTCTGTTCTCACCAAAATCCAACCTGCTGCACTGCCCAGTACCACCTGCCTGTCTCGCAGAATGCTCCCCCTTCTCTCTCCCCGCTCCAATGAGGGTCAGCCTGCGTCCACTCACTAGGGTTGGGCTGCAGCAGCACCTCTGTTTGCCTCAGAATCTTCTCTGTCCAGTTCTTGGTGCTGTCTGCCCGGGTCAGAAGGTTTTCAAAGTGGGCATCGAGTTCTGTCTTCTCAGCCTGGCCGAACTTCTCCTCTGTAAACTGTGTGGAGAGAGCCAAGGGGTAGGGAGGGCTCAGAAAGGAAAAGGTACTGAACACACGTAGACTGAGGACAGTTGGAACCTAGGACCCAAGGTCAAGAGACTTGTTCTGCTCCTAACCTGCTCTATGACCTTAACCTCAGAGGACTAGAGTTTAGAAATCACAGCTTTATTTGGAAATCCAAAGGAAGCTGTAGGCCCTCTTCCTACAGAAATGCAGTTGTACAAAATCTACCACCAAGAGACCATCTTTCTGGGACCTTCCAGCCTGACTCTACAGGAGAATTTGGTGGAAAGGTCTTGTGGGATAAATGGCAGAGTATGAGGTCTGAGTTCTTAGGAAGTTTCAGAGAGCTGGAAGATCACAGGGCAAGAGGTGCCAGAGGAGTGAGTGGGAAGAACCCAGGCTCTGAAATCAGTGAAACCTGGCTCAGCTCTGTCACTGACCAGCTGTGTGACCTTGGGTCAGTGGCTTTGCCTCTCTGAGCACTTGTTTCCTGAGATGAAAAATGGGGATAAGTAAAAGTATCTCCCTTCTCGGGTGGCTATGAGGGTGAAATAAGGGAAATGAGGGTAAGACATTAAGTCTGGGGCTGGCATGGAGTCAATACTCAGTGGAAGAGAGAGCTGCTGATGCTGCTGTTAAGAGAAGCTGATGAAGACTAATGGACCAAGTGAACATCGGTCTCTACGACTCTGGGACCACAAGAGCTAGACAGTGCCTGGCTACCATGACCAACTGCTCTGAAAGGGATCACATTAGATGGTCCTGGATGGAATGGGACAAAATGTAGAACAAAACTCAAAATCCTAACTGAGACCAGATCCACTAGTCAGAACCCTGTGACTATAGCCCTCAGTCCCCCTTCACATCTGGAGTTGAATGCACCCCTACGGCTCAATTTTTTTTTATTTTCCTGAGGAGGAAAAACATGTAGTTTATTTCCTTGTTAACGTGAATTCTAATGAGTTTTTAAGCTTATACATTACTCTTTGAAATCCAACACATCAGTCTGAGATATATCCATTGAGTAAAAAATAAACATGCAGTTTGCCACAGCCATTATATACGAATATAAAAGATTATGACATCTTTTCAATATACCGTTTGCATTACAATAACAAAAATAGTCCCAATACATGTGTGACTAAGAAAAAGAGTACAGTCTTTCCCATTTATGAACAGAAATTTTTGAGACTTCTACATATTTTCAAAAAATACTCTTTACATTATCATGTTGAGAATATATAGATACATCTTTTGGTCAGGGTCGTTCCTAATTTTTTTTTGTGTGAAACTTTATTGTGAATTGAGAGAAGATTACAGAGAGGATCATCAGTTCTACATTGAACAAATCATATACTTTGTTTCATTTCAATAATTGCAATCCCCTCCACACAACAACAGTTATCCCACTTGCCCCAGGTGGTTCTTATTTCCATTCCATCCTCCTTCCCATTCCTTCTCAACTTTGTCCTTAGGTAAATGCTGCCTTTTTTATTTTGAATGACTGACCAGTCCATGGTGACACCCCTTACTAGGGCTATTAAATCCCCTATGAGTTGGAACCAACTCGACTACACGTAACAACAACATAGACCTACACAGCTACCTCTTGGCTGAAAATTGAGCAACAAGGATGAGTTTCATCAGAGATCTGAAGGGTAGTTGAGGGTCACAGTCTCCGGGTCCTCCATTGAGTTGGTTCTGGCCCATAGCAACCCTGTATAGGGTTTCCAAGGAGCAACCGATGAGCTTGAACCACCAACCCTGCAGTTCAAACGGTTTTGCAGTCTGTCACATTAACCCACAGCACCATGTCAGGACTCCAATAGGTATATGTTGTTGTTGTTAAGTGCTGTTGAGTCGGTTCCGACCCATAGCAACCCTGTATACGGTTTCCAAGGAACAGCTGGTGAGCTTGAATAGCTGACCTTGCAGTTCAAATGGCTTTGCAGTCTGTCACATTAACCCACAGGACTCCAACAGGTATATGTTGTTGTTGTTGTTAAGTGCCGTCAAGTCGGTTCCGACCTATAGTGACCCTCTAGAGGGTTTCCAAGGAGTAGCTGGTGAGCTTGAACCACCAACCTTGTAGTTCAAACCGACTGTGCAGTCTAGCACATTAATCCATAGTGCCACACCAGGACTCCAATAGGTATATGTTGTTGTTATGTGCCGTGGAGTCGGTTCCATCTCATAGCGACTCTGAACAGGGTTTCCGAGGCTGTTAATCTTTACAGGAGCAGAACGCCTCATCTTTCTCCCGCGGAGCAGCTGGTAGTTTCGAACTAGGGGGCCAATAACACTGGTAAGGGATGAACACCATAGAATGGCCTACTATTAACGATCAGAAGGACAGCATTCACTTAAGGACAAAATTCAGAAGGGTGGGGAAGGAGGAGGAATGGAAATGGGAAAAGCAGGAACGAAGCAGGGTAGGTGATAATACATTGAGGAGACCTCAATCGCGGAGATGGAATGAAGTTTGTGATCTGTTGTTGGATGTAAACCTTTGCTCAATTCACATTAAAAACTTAAATGTAAATCAATCAATAAAAAAAAAAAAAAAAAAGAACTGATGGGCAAGAGAGTGTATAGGGAAGAAGCAGGACCAAATGACAGGGCACATGGCCAGCCTATTAAAGTCAGTTGCTGGATACACCCAGGGCCCAGAAAGCTCGGCAGCCCCACTCCAAGGCCAGGCAGATACCAAAATGCCACACAAGATGCCCTCAGGGCTGGCAGAAAGCTTATGGGTCAATGAGAAAAACCCAGAAACCCACCCAAATCCCTAACCACTCTGATCCAGAAGGCCTCTGGACCAGTGTCCTCACTTGTCCAGCAGATACCATGCCAGGGCAAGGAGCTCATCTAACGTCACAGCCAAAGAGCAAAAAGAAGGAAGCCTGTGTAATAAGGTCAATAACAGCAACAGATCCTGCCCACCTGACCTCACTGGCTTCTCCAACAGCCCTGCAAGACATGCCAGGTCACATTTCCCATTTACAGGTGATGCCACTGAGGCTAAGCAAGGGCTAGCCTCCACCATAATCTGGAGTCCAGAGGTCTCCCCTGAGCTACAGGACAGCAATGACTCACCCAGAGGCCACAGGGCTGCTCCAGCTGTGGGGAGTGGGAGGCAGACGCCTGACAGAGTCAGGCTGCTTAGCAGCCATCAATAATGTAGCAGAGCTTGGGTTTCTGCTTGCCAGGCTGGGCAGAGCAAACCAAGCTGATAGGGTAATAGCCTCCAGTTCCAGACCTGGGCACTAGCTGGCCCCTGCCCTCCTGTTACTGTCCTCTGAACCACCTCAGGCTCCCCAAGTTGTGGACTCCTTGGAGAGGGTCTCAGGCCTATCTGTCTGCTGGGAGTCAGGCCTTAGACAGACCTTACCTTATTCAGTCCTTATCTAAAGGATGGCAGTAGCCTCATTTGCCAGATGAGGAAACTGAAGGTCAGAGAGATGAAGCACCTGTTCAGGGGACCTCAGGTTCCCCTGGAGGATGGGGATAACAGGACCTACATAGTGGTTATGAATCGGGCTGCGAACAGCAAGGTCAGCAGTTCGAAACTACCAGTTGTTCCATAGGAGAAAGAGGAGGCTTTCTGCTCCCGTAAAGATTTACAGCCTTGGAAACCCTATACAAGGTCGCTATGAGTCAAAACTGACTCCATGGCACATAACAACAACAACTAGCTCATAGATGGTTTGGAAGGTGCTTGGCTCCACAGCTGCCACACAGTACCACTCAATAGATGTTAGTTCAATATCATCATCATTGTTGTTATTAAGTGCCGTCGAGCGACCCTATATAGGGTTTCCCAGGAGCAGCTGGTGAGTTTGAACCGCCAACCTTGCAGTTCAAACAGCTTTGCAGTCTGGCGCATTAGCCCACAGTGCCACACCAGGAGTCCATCATCATCGTATCTGGGCTTTAATAAAACGCCTCACTCACATTCCTCCTTGATTCTCAGGAGCATCCTGGGACCTCTCACCCTGATGGTACCAGATCTTCACACTTAATGTCTCCAAACCCAGTGCAGTCTGCCCTAAATGTGCACTTCGGCATCTCCCCTCCGCGCCACTGCCACAGGTAAAAAGTCCTACCAAACTCTTGGGTATCCATCTCAAGCCCACTGCTATGTGCCTAGCTCTGACGATGACAATGCTACTACCTCCCAGTGTTTTATTATTATTGTTACGGCTACCAACACCATGACTGTAATTACTATGAATAGTACTCATACTATCACTTCTCCTGCCCACCTGCATTCTCAATGGCATCAGACCCATTCTCAAATATGCCTTACGTTTTCCTGCCTCCGAGTCCTCATCTGGGCTAGGCCCATCACCTAGAATACCCTTTCTGTGCCAATCTTACAAAATCCTCCTGCTTTCAAGACACAGTTCAAGAACATTCCAGAATCACCTAGGCAAAAGGGATCCAGTCCTCTGGACTCTCATGCCAAGACAATGGTCTTGTTCCTGCAAGGATGGGGCTGTGGATGAGGCTTTTAAAGTTATCCAGATATGTGGAGGGACCGAGTGCTTACCCAGAATGTCCTAGTGCCTGGCAAGGTAGCACCTAAACAGAAGAACCACACAGGCACTGATCATGAAAAGCCCCAGCCCCTCTTGGCTGGGAGGGGCCTCAGGCAGATCCCCTATGTGGCCTTTCCTACCCAGGCCACATTTCAGGTCCTGCTCTCCTCTGGTCTGCAATCCCTGCCAAGGAGAAGGGGCCTAGTGCCTCGGAGGCCTCTGCCTGCACAGTCCAAGGCTGCTCCCAGCAAGATGACAGCAGCAGGGGGTGGGCGTGCAGAGCCAGAGAAAGCCTCTATTTATAAAGCTCCCAGCTCCCTCCTCCACTCTGAGAGACTGGGACCTGGGTGCTGTTGGCTCCTATTCTAGTATGGGCCAGCAAAGCCACAGGGTCCAAGCCCGCCCCCTCTCCTGGACTCTTCAGTGATGTCAGGTCAGGTGCCAGGGCCCCAGCGGCCACAGGAAACCGGCAGATCAGGTTCTTCCCCAGATGTGGGAGATATCAAAGAAGTTGTCATGCCAACTGATAGGGTGATTTTTCCCACCTCCCACAAGGACTGGGGCTGTCTGAGGGGCTCTGGTGTCCTAGCATCCCCAAGAGGACTGATGGCACCCACCACACTAGAAGCACAGAGCAGTAAATCCCTTCCCACAGGGACACTAATCCTCGTGGGGACAATGAGCTTTCTAGTAAACATGGCCACATAGGCTCCAGGGAGCTAGGCCTGGCAGGGACAGGGCTTGTCTATGGAAGGACTGTCCTCAGTAGTGTCAACAACATGGAGAAGGATAGCAACATGACCAACGCACTGCAGTGAGCCAAGTTCTCCTGTCTGCAAGATCTCACAGCCAGCCACTGAGGCAGGCACTATGTTACACCCAATTTATAGGTGGGGAGACTGAGGCTCCAAGTGAAGAGCCTTGCCCAAGGTCACGTGATGCATAGGTGTACTATTAATCACAAAAATACCAGTGATGAGCATGCCTTTGGCTCACACCCATGCACAGTACCATGGGATCCTCACATCCATCTTGTCAGAGGGTATTAGCAATCCCATTTTTCAGACTGAAAAACTGAACCCCAAGAGGTGAAGTCACGTTCCCAAGGTCACAGGAGGGTGTATTAAAAACTATATGACTCCAAACCTTCATCAGGGCATTAAACGTCCTCAGTTTCTCTCCCAGGCCCCCAATGGATAAGATTTGCTCCAATCCTGGCAGCATCCACCTGGATCTTTTTCCAAGGCGGGGACTCGGCCAGTTCCTAACTCTCTCCCCATCCCCCAGGCCTGAGGACTAAGAGGAAACGGGTCTGGCAGGGAGCAGAAAGGATATAACCACAGCCCTCCTGGCTTAATTCTCCAAGTGGGTAAAGGGTCCTGAATCATAGCACCACTAGCTCATTGCACAGGAATGGAGGCTAAGACCCAGAGAAGGGGCTGTGAGGGGTGAACCATGAGCCTCTAAATGTCCTGGCCCAAACCAGAGTTCTGGCTTGTCGAAGAGATAGAGAAAGAGGAGCCGCCTGCTGCCCTCTCCCCTCCTAAGCGGGGCTCCCAGAAGGCATGGGGCTAAAGCCAGGGCAGGGCGGTAACGCAACTGTTCGAAATGGTCGACACTGGCCACTCTTCCCCAGGCAGCAGAGCCGAGGTCGGGGTTAGTTTCCGTCCTGGACCACGCTGAGGGTGTGGCCAGTGTAACCAGCAGCCCCAAACTCTCTTCTGTGCAGCGCAGGAGCAAGGACTCCAGGGGACTGAGGGTGTCCCTGCTGCAGGGAAGGTGGCAGCTACATTGGAGAGGCTTCTCCAGGGTCCCCCAGGATTCTGCTGCAGGAGCGCCCTCGGCGCCGAGCCCGCCCCACATCCGGGCCCCAGTAGCAGACAGACCGTGCGGGCCCAGGGCGCACGGTAGGGCGCACAGCGCGGCGTCAGGCCTCACCTGCACCGCCCTGGTGAAGAAGATGCCCGCGTCCGACGCCAGCTTCTTCATGTTGAAGTCCATGGTGCGCACGCACGGCCAACCACGCTCGGCCTGAGCGCAGCCTGGCAGCCTTGCGCCCCCCGCCGCCACCCAGTCCGCACCCCGCCCACCTGCTGCCGGTGCGCCAGCTCTAAGTACGCCCGCCCGCCCGCAGCCGCCGCTGAGCCAGCTGGAGCGCGCAAGGCGGGGCGCGGCTGCCGCCGGAGGCGGAGTCTGACGGAGAGTGACCCAAGGCGGCTAGCAGGTGCTCGCTGCTGCCCCTGGCGTCCACCCGCCCGCTTGTCCGCCGACCGCTGCCGCAACCGCCAGGCTCGGACTTTCTTGCTTCTTCCTCTCCCTTTGTCTATTCGCATCCACTCATCCCTACTGTCTGTCTCCCTATTTCTCGGGGTCTCTGGCACTCCTCACCCTTGCCCTCTTCAGTTTTCCTCCTCTTCTGCCCCTGACCTTGGAGACCCTAAGGACAACTAAGCTGGGAGCTCATCCTTCAAGGCTAAAATCAGAATATGTGCGGGGAGGAAGACGAACTGTGTCCAGGAGCAATGCACAGGAGGAGAGCAGGGGTAGACTAAGGATGGGAGGTCAAAGGTCTGGACTCTGCCAAAGTGGAGGAGCTAGGCTGCCCTCCGAGCGTGAACATGTACTGACCTCGAACAGAAGGATGGTCTTACTTAGCCCACAGATAACTCCTCCCATGGGATTTGGTGGTGGTGGTTATGTGCTGTGGAGTCGGTTCAGACTTGCAGAGACCTTATGTAGGGTTTCCGAGGTAGCCTTATCTTTCTCTCGCAGAATAGCTGGTAGTTTCCAACTGCTGACCTTGAGGTTAGCAGACTGACTCGTAACCACCACACAACCAGAACTCCTTATGGGGCTTGTAAGGGAATTTTTTAAACCTGTCTCCACCTCTTCCTTTGGACTTAAACTTTTAACCAGATGCTTCAGGGCTCCTTCCCCTGGATGAGTGACCCCAGCCTATCTAAAGGGCTGATTCGCTTTGGGGGCTTGTTCAAACTCCAGAGCCTGGTCTCACCCCTAGGCCCTGGTTCTCTCAGAGGAGGTGGGGCCCAGGCAGGTGGGAAAGCTCCGAAGTGGCACTGTGGGATAAGCATTGGACTGCTAACCATAAGGTTGTTATGAGTTGGAAACCAATTTGATGGCACTTAACAACAAGTGATTTAATGTGCACCCCAGGTTCAGAACCACTGTTCTGCATTTATTATCTATAGGGAGCCACTCAATTAATCATCTCTGTGTTTCCCTGTGTTGTTTCTATGAGTTTCTAAGTGTTTCTATTTGTATTCACCTCTCAATATCTGTCTATAAAGGAACTCTGGTGGCACTGTGAATTACCCATTTGGCCGCTAACCACCAGCCACTCTCTGGAAGAATGATGTAACAGTTTCCAAGAGGATTCACAGCCTTGAAAATCCTATGGGGGCAGTTTTCCTCTGTCCTGTAGGGCCACTATGAGTTGGAATCCCCTCAATGGCATGAGTTTGGTTTTTGGCTTGGAACTGCTTATAGCAGATCATTATCATTCATTTGGAGTCCTGGTGTGTGGAGCTGTGGGTTAATGTGCCAGACTGCAAAGTCATTTGAACTGCAAAGTCAGTGGTTCAAGCTCACCAGCTGCTCCTGGGAAACCCTAAACAGAGTTGCTATGGGTCGCAATCGACTTGATGGCACTTCAAAGCAACAATATCATTAGTTTAGTTAGCATCCAGCCTTATTGATTTTCAGCATTACATATCAATATAGTTATATGTTCATTCATTCAGTAACTTTAGGTGCTGAGGATGAAGTAGTAAACAAAATAAGGCCCTTTTTTTTGTGGGCAAATAAATCATAGCAGGTGATAAGTCCTGGGAAGAAAAATACAACAGGGTAAAGGGGAGAGAAAGCATGACAGTACATATGAGGGGGCTTCAAAAGTTAATGGAATTGAAAGATAATGGAATTTTTCCAGGAACTTTTTGAAGCCCACTCATACATACAGGTTGGTGGGTCAAAATCACCAATTGCTATCAATCAGAGCAGACTGGATAGCGCTTAACAACATACATGCTAGTTAGTGCTGATCTTATAGCTGTGCCAGTCTATACCTTTCACCTATTTATCTCGCTTTCCACTTGGCTATCGAGGATTTTCTAACAGGAATGGCTAAATGTGCTGAGCCTGTTCTAAACTAACACCAAGCACCTTTAAGTAAGTAATCGCCTAATACCCTTTTAACAGCTTAGAAACCATCATTATCCTCCTGTTAGGGGTAAAGAAGCTGAGGTTTAGAGGTGTTAAGTGACCTGGCCAAGATTTTTAGGGGAAAAAGTGGCTTTAGCTTGGCACCAAGGCACTCCAGCTGTGGAGCACATCTGGCTTATCCTTCCTTGGCATCTTGGAATGACACTTTCTCAGGTTCCTGCTGTCCTCAGTCAAAGATACCAGGTTCTCTCTTGCCTCTGGGCACAGCTGAGGCCGTTTCTGCAACACTTCTTGGGCTCCTCTTTGCCCAGCTAATTTTTGCTCATCTTTCAACTCTCTGGACTTCCTTTTTTTCTGGAACCTTCCTTGATTCCTCACTTTCCGAGGTCCAGTCCAGCCCAGATGTCTCCTTAGTACCTTCATATTTCCAGGATATTCCCCACTAGAACACATATCACTGGATTGTAATTATGTGTCTACTTCTTAGGACAGACTAAGAGCTTCCTAGGGCCACCACTCATCTTGCCCACCAGAGTCCAGCCACAGAAAATACTAGTTTATTGTGGCATGAAGGCAGGAATGTGAATGACTTGCTGATAATTATAATTAAAAAACTAAGATGTGGTCAGCTTTTCAGTTATGCCACACGGTTCTCCTATCCCCACTGAAGTTCTGTGACTCAGGTAGGGCAGGAATCCTATGCCTATTTTACATGAAGGAAAACTGGAAAACTTCAGAGAGCTGAAGTAGCAGAAGTCGAGTTCAACTTAGGTCGGCCTGATTACAAACTAAAATGTTTAGCACAAGGCCCATTTTGATGGTTCAAATTAATCACGCTCCCAACTCTCAGGGAGCCACTACGTTGTAGGAGAGAGATGGAACTTTTCAGAACAAAGTGGAGAGTGGCGAGTATTTAGAGGATGCTACTGTGGAGCTCTGGTAGCGTAGTGGTTACGACTTGGGCTGCAAACCTTAAGGTCAGCGGTTCGAAACTACCAGCCGCTCCGCGGGATAAAGATGAGGCTTTCTACTCTCGTAAAGATTTACACCCTCGGAAACCCTGGACAGGGTCACTATGGGTCGGAATCGACTCGATGGCACTTAACAACAACAACTGTGGCTGAGAGGTGGTGACATTTTGGGCCTTGAAGCGCGGGAAGGATTTGTGCGTGTTGGGACGGACTAGGGTAGAATAGCCAAAGTTTAAGGCTCACACCATCAGCGTTTTCTGTCAGTGTGCCCTTCGCAGCCACATGCTAGAATTGACTGCCCTAGGATCCGGCCCTTTTAAGAGTGGTCCCGCCCTACTCAGCCATCCGTGTCAATCTAATCCTAACGGCCAATCGTCGGAGAGAAGAGATCACTTCCGCGCCTCAACCGCACTTAGGAGGCGGGGTTGAAGTCCAGGAAAGGCGAGACTAATTGACCACGTGATCCACCCTATTGGCCCGAGGCCCGAGCAGCGCGCAGGGCCTCGGCGACTCTCATTGGTCAGAGAAGAGTTCGCCCAGCGCGAGGCCACGCCCTACAGTGGCCGTAGGCTTGGTTGCGCGGCCGCAAGAGAAGGAGACGCTGTCCTTCCGCAGCTATGGGAGTCCCCGTGAGTGGCGGCCCGGGGTTGTGTCCGCCGGGTCAGCAGGCGGCACGGCGGGGCCGGGGACTGTGCTTGCGGGGGCCGAACCTGGGTGGGGGTGCATGTGCCCGGTCCCAGTCGGATTGAGTAGGTGTCAGGGTTGGAAGGTTCAGGTACTCGGGCCGAGGTTGGCGCGAGAGGGCGCCCTGGTTGGGGGTGGAACGAGAAGGTACCTGGGTCAATGAAGAAATGCTCGGGCCTGGAACGTTGAGGAGGGGTCGGTGCAGTGGCTCATGTACCTGGGCCGGCACTGAGAAAGTAGCTAGGATGAAGGAGTAGTTGTCCAAGCAGTGGGCGGCGCCAAAGGGTGCCTGGAGGATCCCCAGGGATATTTCAGAAATCGGGCAAAAGAGGAGATGACCTGGTCGGAGACCGCGCAAGGAGATATCCAGAATGGAATGAGCAGGTCCTAGAGACGGGAATATTGCTGAGGTCCAGGACTGGACTCCGGGGCAGGTACCCAATGCCCAGTTCGTCCGAGGTGCTTAAGGCGAAACTAACAAGAGATTGTCAGAGTATGGCGCAAGTAGGAGCCGGGGCCCAGGCTGAATGAGGAGGAGCTCAGGAGTCATTGTTGGAATCAGGGCAGGGGAGGAGGTACCTAGGATAGAAAACATGGGTGTCCAGGATGAAGGTGTTGTAACTGTCATGGAGTGGGTGGAGAGAGGAGGTGCCTGCCCAAGATCTTAGGGCAGGAGATGTAACCAGACCCAGCACAAAGGAGGAAATGTACACATGAAGGGCTCATTGCCCTAGGTTTGTCATCCTGGAGAGGAGGTGGGCTGTGAATAGACTGGATCTGGATCCGTCCCTAGACTGGAAACAGGCTTGCGGGGAGGGCTGGTGTTACCTTGTCCCTGTCACTCTTCTGTTCAGTGGGTCAGCAAAGCAGACAAATGCCAGGCCTCAGTTCCTATCTCTCAACCATGTTTCACTTTTGGAATGGTTGTGCTCAGCCTTATCTGTGGAATTTCTATGGGCTTCTCACCTGGGAGCATGTGGCTTGGTTGAGGGAAGGGTAGGGGAAGGGTGGCAATTGGAGCAGGCAGAGCAGGGCAAGCACTGCTACAACTTTGGGTTACTCCCTAGTTAGACCATTTACGCAGTGACCTTGGTCAAGTTGCTCACCTGTCAGCCTCAGTTTCTCCACCATTGAGGGTTCTCTGAGTGACTAGAAACAAGCCCTTGGGGCAATACTGGCCTCTAGTAAGTAGCTGCTGATCCTCTGATGTTCTGGGACTGAGGGTGGTGGAGGTGGTATACAATATTAACCTGAACTGACCACGGAGGTCATGTAGTGCAATCCAAAGCCTTCTGGCAGGCTGTCTCCTACTCTTGACCACATGATAGTTTCATTGGTCCT